GGGGGGGGGGGTGCAGGAGGCAGCCGATAGATGTCTCTACCTCTCTCTCTAAAACCTATAAAAACATATATATATATATATATATATATATATATATATAAAGTCACAGGGAACAATATTTGAAAAAAGAAAAGAAGATTCCCGCTTGGGTACACCTGTGTTAGAGCTCCGGCGAGAGGCGTGAGGGACCCTGGGCTTGCTCAGGCCACCAAACTCAGAGCAAAAGGTCACGGGGAATCCAAGATGCACCCCACACGGCTGCTCAGCTTGCTTCTCTGGGGAACCCTCAGAAGTGGTGGAGAGGGCCTGGACGCTCATTCTAGGTGGGCTGAGAGCTCAAGCTCTTTGCTTTCGCTCCTAGCATGCCAGCCCACCCTGGCAGCCAGTGGCTGCCCAGGTGCCCAGGCATCAATGCCCTGGTCCTCCGTGGTGGGGTGATGGATGTAGGAGGGGTTGGCTTAAAGGATGCCTGGGTGACTCAAGCTCTTCCTCCACCTGGCCCTTGGCCTATCAAGTCAGAAGGCTGGTGCTTAGGGACTTTGGTCAGGTTCTGTGTGGCGGCCAGGAAGTGAGCCTATAAAGTATGGGGACCCCATCTGAGCAGGGGGAGGAGCCCAGGTTGCGGTGGGTTCTCAATCTTGTCTCTGCCGGTCTCCATGAGCCATTGCTGAAGGGCAGTGAATGGTTTGCTCTGTGGCTGCCAAGAACACCACCCCCTTAAGGTTCACCTGAGCAGGGGCCGAGGAGCTAGACGCGGTGGGAGCAGCAGCCCAGGCCAAGGCACCCTGGAGGTGGGGCCAAGCAGCACCCACACTGGGCCTCTGTGCTGGGGCCGCTCCCTGACCCATGGGCAATACAAGCTGCCCCCGGATGCAGGGAGCTGAAGGCCCACAACCTGAGGATTGTTCATAAGTGTCTATTGTCTCTGGAGCTTAGCAACGAACACTTACAAAAGCCAGGAGGGACTATGAGTACAGGACAGCGGGTGGCAGTCAAGGGGATGATGCTGGTGGAAGGTGGGTGGCTGCAGGTGCCTGGAGTCCCATGAAGATGTCAGATGTCTACTGCTGCTCCTGGTCCAGGCCCAAGTTCAAACTGGTTCTAAGGAGTCCCCTCCAGTCAGGACAATGCTTGCCCATCACTGCTGTTAACCTCAATGTCCTCCCCTCCCCTCACTGCTGCTCCACAGCCCCAAAAGCCTGGAAGCATTGTTGTGGCTGAACGTCAGGAAAAAACGCCACACAGATGAGAGCTGAGTGAGAGGCACAATTTATTGGTCATACAGACTACACACAGGGGGTGCGAATCCAGTCTCCGGCACTCACACACACTCTGGATCTGGTTTCCTACATGAATTCTCTTATGTGAAAAAGCGACACAAGGAAAGGCGTCACTGATCTATGCTAGTAACCAAGGAAGCAGGGCCAAAAGCCACGAGAGGGCAAAGGAAAGGCTGATGAGTTTTGAGAGCTGGCCCCGGAGAGGCCCACCCTCTGGGCAACCGGGCAGGACCTGTTTCAGGGGCAGCAGCAAAGACTCTGCAGTTAGCACGATGGGAGGAGTGGAAGGGGGCTGGCTCAGCCTGTGGCCTGGTGGTGGCTATCCACATCAGGGAGGGCATGGGGGGCCTGGCTCAGGCCCAGGCATCTCTAGCCCGGGCTGAAGCTGCATCTCCCCACTGAAGAGGAAGAGCCGATTGTCCCTCAGAATAAAGAACTGAGAGGACCCACAGAGACCCCTGCTCTGGGGACCAGCCCTGCCTGCACCCTTGGGGCTTTAGCTAAAGCAGTTTGTGTCACTGAAGCTACAAGGCCAGGTTTCTTGTACCCTAAATTAATACTCTCTCTCCAGCTCCTACAGGCCGAGCCCCGTCTCACCCCAGGAGGGCACTGGTTGTAATTTTTAATGCTTTGTCCAGACCACTCAGGACATACTGTGTTGAACTGGAGGTTCTGGGAATGTGGGTTTGGTTGGCTGAAGAAGGCTCAACTCATAATCTTCATAAAGCACTCAGCAGGTACCTGGCATGTGGCACGTGCAGCCATTATTATTAATATTATTATTATTATATTTCCACCCGGAAATCAGCACTTTAGTTCCTTTCTTCAAAACAGTGATCAGAACAAGGCCCTGGGGTCCCAAGTACCAAGATCAAGCTGGGGGCCCAGGAGCAAGAGTTGTTCGCTGCCCGTTGGGTGTGCTCTTCCTTCCAGCCCCAGCACCAGGGGCCCAGCTTCGGAGCCGGCGCACCCTGCGGACCACACAGAAGCTGGGCCCCTCCTGAAAAGGAGGGAGCCCCGCGAGGGAAGCTGGGTGGGGGGGGCCGGCGGGAAGTCCCAGGAGAGGGTCCAAGTGGCTTCACGCTGCTCCTCTGGGCTCCCGTCTCACCGGCAGCTCACCAGGGCCTTCACTGTGGACCAAGGACAGAAGACCGTCAGCACTGCGTTCTCGCCAGGCCAGAGCTAGCTAAAGGTCCCTGTGTCCCCGCACACTGTGGGCTAGGTCAGGAATCCTTGAGCAGAATGCTGAGAAGAGCCAATACTTGGTAAAGGTCTAAGTACTTTAAATACATCCTAATATAGACGCATATATGTTAGACATATGCATAGGACTATATAGCATATAAGTACATAATTTAGATGTAAATTATAACATACAGTAATAATACATAATAAAATTTAAGCCTCCTTTGAAATCTATGAGGCAGGTTCTACTAATAGCCTCCTTTTCACAGATGAGTAAACTAAGGCTCAAGGCACAGAGCCGGGAAGGGGGAGAACAGGGATGCCAGTCTGGCTCCATAGTCTGTTCTTAGCACTTTTAGTTCTGCTCAAAAAGACATCTATTTTATAGAAAGGAAGGGCCATTGTATCTGGAGTGTCTGCAGTACCGGGAAAATTTTAAGTACAAATGATGATATTAATGAAATGTAAACGATCGGGGCTCTTGTATTTATGGAGCCTTACTCCTCTGGGCCTCACACAACAGGCCTGGGTTCCAATCCCGACTCCACCCCTTGCTCAGGGAGCAGTTCCTAGAACCACTGTTTATTGGAACCCACTCCTGGGCTGGGTCATGGGATCACGCACATTCACACTCACACTCATGCAAGCCTGTGTGCGTGCACGTGAGCACACTCCGGGGCACGGTAGGTTATGGCACACACATGCACATGAGCTCACATGCACACCCCTCCCGGGTGTGGGGGTGTCACATGCACGAGCCCACGCGTCACCCCCGTGCCCCGGCGCACCTGCATGGCAGCCCTGCTGAGAGGCGGGTCCTCGGGCGCAGGCCGGTGCTTGCCGTGGTGGGGGAGCTCCGTGTTCTCCCGGTAGTCACGGCCCTTGGAGTGCTGCAGGTGCAGCACCGCCGGGCTCTTGAGCGGGAGGGGCGGCCGCTGCGCCGGGGTGGGGGGGGCCTGCTGGCTCAGCTCCGACCGGGAGGGCTTGACGGGCCTCTTGGCTGGCACCGGGGCTTGGGTGCTGGCAGGGGCCTTGGGCTTTCCCTGGCCCTTGTCCCCGGGGGCGGCCGGCCGGCCCTCGGCAGGGGACGAGCAAGTGAAGGAGCGGAGCCGGGGCGTGGGGCTGAGGAAGGGCGCGGGCGCGGGAGCGGGTGCGGGCCCCGGCTTGCCGGTCCCCTTGCAGCCCTCGGCCTCCTGGGCTTTGGGGACCAGGACGCTGGACGCCAAGGTTCCTGGGTCAGGGCAGGGCGGGAGCTCCTTCTTCAGCATTTTGGGCGATTCCTGCTCCTTCCTGGGCACCAGCTTGGGGAAAGAACTCACAGACCCGTACAGCGGGTTCTCGAACATCTCCGGCTTGGTCAGCTTGGGGTCCTCCGGGGGCAAAGGTTCCACCACGTTCTTCCCCACGTCACCGGGCCTGGGGGAGAGAGAGGAGACATGGGGAAAACACGAGGGGTGACCGCTTGACGCCCATGGGCTTTTCTCCGGGAGTGACAGAAATGGAACTAGGTGGAGGTGGTGGTGGCGCAACATTGTGAGATACTGGGTGCCACTGAATTGTTCACTTTCAAACGGCCAGTTTATGAAACGGCCAGTTTCACCTCAATTAAAAAATGAAAGGAGCCCAGCTAGTGTGGCTCAGGGGTTGAGCATCGACCTAGGATCCAGGAGGTCACAGTTGGATTCCCGGTCAGGGCACGTGCCTGGGTTTCGGGCTCGATCCCCAGCAGGGGGTGTGCAGGAGGCAGCCGATCAATGACTCATCTTTGCTGTTTCCATCTCTGCTAAAAAGGCCCCTCAGCACCCGTCAAGGTGGCTTTTGTATTCATTTTACAAGGAGAGGAAATGAGGCTGTTTTTTCTTCCTCTAAGTTTCTTATGGATGATGAGAGTCCAAAAATATTATCAACACATTCTGAGAACTAGAGGCGCAGATGCAGCCAGGGCTGAGCTCAGGGGCAGGCCTATTTACTTATCTTGCTCACCTTGACTCCTGCGTCCTGGGGCAGGGGCCCCGGCTTGCAGTAGAAGATGGAAACCTCTTGGGTGACAAGGGGGGTTGGGAGGGTGGTGTTGAGGGGCTCTCTCCCCTGCCAGGTCCCAGGGAAGAGTCCTTGAGCGGCTGGTCATAGCTCCAGGCTGTGGGCTGCTGTTCAGGGGACAGGGCCTGCTTCATGTGCCCGAAGGCCCCCACCCCCATGTAATTGGGGTTGATGATTTCAGTGATGCTGGAGCCACTGCAGAGAGGGACCCTGTGGGGGAGACACACAAAGTCACACCTCGGGTCTCCCTTCCCTCCTCCAGGTTGGTCCCAGCCTAAGGACGGTGTCTTCTGATGATCCTCAGGACCCCTCAGGATCTCCTCAACTCCTTTGCTCTTCGGGCAGTAGATTCATCCATTCATTTGTTCATTCATTCATTCATTCATTCATTCATTCATACAACAAAATAGCTTCTGAGTGCCTCGCGAGCACCAGGCCCTGAGCCTGGCAGAGGGAATATGCTTGTGAATGAGGCAGCCACAGTCTGTTCTCATGGGTCTCAGATCTGGTGGGGGAGACAAACAAAACAAGCTCAGCGACTGAGACGAGCAGCATTTACACAGTGCCGAAGTCTGGATGAGAGTCACGAGGAGGCTGAGATGGACTGGCAGGAGCTTTGGGACCCCCTGGGCATAGGGTGGCAGGCCTATCTGAGGAGGAAGGTAAGAAGGAAGTGGGAGGGACAGTGGTGAGAGTAACTGCAATTTAAAGCTGCTGAGGGGCTGGCTCAGACCCAGGTAAGGTGACCTGAGACACAAACACTGTACTGCCTCTCGGTGACAAAAGTGTTGTCCTTTGAGGACATGCTTAGAGAGAGGACGGGGGCGGGGGGGGAGAGAGAGAGAGAGAAATATCGATCGGTTGCCTTCCATACACACCCTGGAGAGGGCATCTGTCCTAGGCTGTGAGTCCCTAAGTCAGGGACAGCACCTAATCTGCCTTGGTTTCTCTAGAACTTGTCACATAGTAGGTGTTCAACACTTTTGTTGAACAGAACTGAAGTTTCCAACACAGAGGAGTTTCCCAGGCCTCATCTGGTCACACTAATGCCCCAGAGCCACGGGTTAGTGGTCAGAAGCCTCTGGGCCGGAGGCAGGACAGGGCCTCTCCTTGCTGTGATTTTTTTCCTCCAGGTCCTCGGTTTCTCTGCGATCCACTTATTTCCCTGGGTCCTGGTCTGCAAAGCCAGCTAGTCTAGTGCACCCCTGGCACCCCCCTGCTCACCTGATGGCAGGTTCCCACTGCTTCATGGGGTCGTGGCTGGTGAGGCTCTTCAGACACTTGGGCCCACTCGATTCATCCCGCTCGGTCTTCACAAAGTCTGCAAGGAAAGGGCAGAAAGGAGTACGTGAGGGCCCTGCGTCCAGGTCTGGGCCAGGGCGGCAGAGGTCCCCACTGACATGCTGGAGCTGACAGCGGTCACCTGCTGCCTGGGGAGGTGGGCCGAGCAAATCCTGAGGCCTCATTTGAGTTCCATGACTGATTAGTTATGCCCGCCATGGCTTTAGAGCAGGGGTGCGGAACGTCCGCCCCCGAAATCATTTGGTCTGGCCCTGCCAAGATCTCACCAAAGAGAAGCAGTTCCAGCCATCACGTTAGGGTGAGTTAATTAAATGTTTGACCAAATATAGCAGGCTAATTTTAAAAAAAAATAATTAAAATATATATATCTTTATTGATTTCAAAGAGTGGAAAGGTGAGGGGGAGAGAGAGAAACATCAATGACGAGAAAGAATCGTCAATTGGCTGCCTCCTGTACGCCCCCTGCTGGGGATCGAGCCCGCAACCCAGGCATATACCCTGACGGGGAACGGAACCAAGATCTCCTGGGTCATAAGTTGAACTCAACCGCTGAGCCACGCCGGCCAGGCAGCAGGCTAATTTTTAAGTTGATAATTTTGTATGGCTCGTGAATGATGTTATAAATATCCAAATGGCCTTTGGCAGAAAAAAGGTTCCCCACCCCTACTTTAGAGGGAGGAGAATTGGCACATTTGACCCACAGGCGTCATTTCATGTGACATCTCCAACTAGTTGGTGTCGGCAAGGGACAAAACAGCCCAACTGTTCTTGGCAGATCCAAATAAAACAAATAAGAAGGTGGCTCCACCGGGCATCTGGTACGAAAGCCAACCTCTTTGAGGGCTTAAAGGGCAGCTGGGACCCTGTGTTCATTTTTGACTCTGACCTGTGGTTGCAGAGGTACTGAGGCCCCCTCACTCCAACCCACAGTCCTGCTAGAGAAAGGCGCTCCCACAGGGCAGAAGGGGGGCCACATTCGTTGGAGGCAACATCCCCGATGGCCCAGCTCCCACCGAGGAGCTGAGGGCACCAGATGGTCCACATGTAGCGAGCCCTGGGGTCTCACTGTCCAGGTGAGGCAGGACCCGTACGTTTACAAATTCCAGCTTGGCCCTGGGTGCACCTGCACTTCACCTTGGGCTGGCTGCTTACTCAGCCTCTGACCTTCAGCCAATCACCTAACCTCTCTGTGCCTCAGTTTCCCCCCAAAGATGATGCCTGGCTCTCAGAGAGGGTATTGGACAGCTTTGCTGAGAGGACCTCACTCCTGTCCCTAACCCGCAGCGCTGCGCGGGCGCAGGTTGGGCATGGGCGCCGTGCCCACTTACCGTACAGCTTCTCCCTCGTCTTGCCCTGGGAGGTCTGCAGCTTGATCTCCCCCCGGAAGTGACCCGTCATCTCTCCGTGGTGGGTGAGTGGGGTGTAGATGGGGAGCTGGGTTTCCGTGGCCTCCAGCCGCAGAGCAATGCAGCCCTCACCTAGGGACACGAAGGGGACAACAGTCACGTCAAGACCCCGCCGTTTCGCAGGAGAAACACCGCGAATTTGGCCTGGAGAGTCAGCTGTACCACCAAAGACTGTCATTCAAGACAATGGCCAAGACAGGGATCATCAAATAAACCTTTTAGAACAACTCTTTAGCAATCTGGGGGAACATCTCAAAACTGACAGCAAACGAACTCCATGTAGATGAGTGCATATGAAAAAAAGTTAAATCATAGACAATCCAGCAGAAAAACAGAGTTAAATACTAATCTGTGGGCTGGAGGGAATGACAACCTTTCAAGGTTCGGAGCTATGTCAGAAATGACAAAATAAGATGGATAGATAAGAGGATGTAAAAGTTTAAAAGTTCTACAGAGAAAAAAACCATGAAGATGAGAAGATTGACTGGGACGGCTCGCTGGAGTCAGCCTCACAAAGCGGGGATTGTATCTGAACTCGGGAGGAACTCCTCCAAATTCAACCCCAGCAGCTAAGTAGGCAGATAACCCAAACAGTCATTCACACAAAAAGGCCTGGAGCTGGTTCATTTCAATAAATGGAAACTCATTCAGCGAGCAAGCCACCGAGCATGCAAATAAAGGCAATGAAGAGACTCTCAGCGCAGAGTTAGGCGGAACGAAGGGAGAGAAAGGTCCCCTCCTAGGATCAGGGACCCTGGGCCCCGCGACACGGTGAGGTCGACCTGGCGAGACGAGGCCTTTCCCGCAATCAGTCTGATAACAGGGGCCAAGAATCACCAGCATGTTTATACCGTTTGACCAGCAAACGAGGGGACTCATGCTAAAGAGACGATCCAAAAGAATTATAAAATGTAGCCTCAGGGGAATAAAAAATGTCCCCAGAGGTCTGTCTCAGCACCACGGAGAACACGAGCACAAGTAACTGGCAGGGCCTCAATGACGGTGATAAAGACGCCTGTGAAATATGAGGGCACAGCCAATCCACGGGGTATTACGAAGCCGTGGAAAGCAGCCACCATGGAGGCCATGCGGGAGGGTCGTGGCACATGGGTCTCGTCTCATTCGAGGCGAGGAGAGCAGACTACAAATGGTGTCTCTGTGACGATTAGAAACGCAGAAATTTGCGCGTGCCTGTGCACCAGGGCGGACGTGCAAGACCAAAATAAAAAGGAGTGTGTAGAGGGGAGTGAGGCCGCCGGTGGATCTTTTCTTTGTTATCTGCGACGGAGATGCCCTGCCTCCCACCAGCTAACAGCAGACGTGGCACCTGTGGCACCTGCGGGACCCTTACCGTAGGATTCGTCGCTGTCAGAGGATTTAATGCTAATCAGGATGTGCTGGTCCAGCAGGTACTCGGGGTCGGAGATAATGGGCTTCAGCTGCAAAGAGAAGGGCACGGGATTGGAGGTGACAAGCCAGGGACAGGTGGGTGGGGGTCACCACCAAGAGGAGGGGAATGCTGGAGAAAACAGGCCTGTAGACGTTGTCATTAAACGAATTTGAATCTCTGCTTTTCATGCCCAGAGAGAGGGAAGGAACCCATAGGTACACCTTGCCTAACTTCCTTTCCTGTCCCCTTCCATCCTGCACTCCTGGCCCCCGGGATGGGGCCTGATCCCAAATATGCCCCATCTTCACTGTCCCCGTTCCAGCCCTTTGCAGTCCCTGGGGTCCTAGGCAGTGGGGCCAGGCAGCTAAGCAAATGGGAAAGGGGCCCGAGAGTAGGTCTGAATGTATCCACTCCCCGACCCCAGGCAGCAGTGGGCGCAAGGTGGCTGATGTCTGAAGGAGAAATGTCTGTGGGTGACACTCACCATGGAGGGGTGGCAGGAGAGCGTCAGGGTGCCCTGAAGGGATTTTGGAGAATGAAGAGAGAGGAGGCAGAGAGAGAGAGGTGTGTGTGTGTGGGGGGGTGTTGTTCTTCAGGGAGCAGGAGGAGTGAGGTCCCTGAGGTGTTGTAGGAGCAGATGAGGCTGGAGATGGAGGAGGGGCTGGGAGCCGAGCCGAGGAGCTTGGGCTCATCCCACTGACACCAGGGAGTGGACCGGATAAAGAAGAGTATGCCGGGGTGAGGCGGGCACCCCAGAGAGATTCATCAGGCTTCAGGATGCTTGGGCAAGAAGACAGGAGGAGTGGAGACCCCTGGAAGCTGACAGTGGGTGGAAAGGAGGGGACAGAGACAGGAGCACCAAGTCTTGGAAGTGGTTAGGATGTTGGGGACAGGGTGCCCTAGAGGTCTCTGAAGTGGACAGGGTGCTGCAGGGACTGGGATGCTGGCATCCTTCTCAACTGAACAAAGGAGGAAATAAGCCATTTGGGTGCTGCATGGGAGCATCCGGGAGAAGAAGCAGGGGTTGGTTAAGGCAGGATGTCGCCTTAAAGCCCAGAGCCACCAGGATTCAGGTGTCTGAAGACAGCCCCAGGACTCTGACAGTTCGCCCCTGCCTCGTGGAGGGCACTGATTAGATATACGTGAGTTAGAAGACAGATTTGGGCATCGGCCTCTGCTCCTGAGATGATATGGCCTTCATGTGTGTGGCCCAAGAGTTGGTTCCAATGAACAGATAATGCCGGAGTGGGCAGCCCAGCCCCCTGAAACCTGCCTGCCTCCCACCCCAGCCTTGGGCGTGGATGGGTCCCTCCACCCGTTAAAGGCCATCCTTCAAACCTCATCTCGGGTGGTACCTCTGAGGAATCTCCCAGGGGAAGCCTGAGACCCCTGCCCCATGTGGTAGATTTCCCCAGCCTTGTACATGCCCTGTGTACCCCTCCCTCGTTAGGTGACAAATAGGCCCTTCTCCGCTGTGCATCCAGCATGAACATCCAGACATGTCCACCATCAACTTAACATCATAAAAACAGCCCTGGGTTCCAGGTAGAAGACCATATTTTCCTGCTATAGGGATGAATGTATTCCCACTAAGGTTTGCCTACGTGTTTTTAATTATAACCTTCTACTCGCACGGGTCACGGCCACATCCAGTGCTCTCTGCATTTAGTGTTCATGTGGGAGCCAGTGGACTACTCTCTGCTCCTTCACTCAACCCTCTGAACGAGGGCTGACCAGGCGAAGGAGTACTGGGGGAAATTGGGGCCTTGGGGTGCAGGTCCTGGTCTGTCACTGGAGTTATGTGACCCTGAACAAACCTCCCTGAGATCTGCCTCAGTTTCCTTCTTTGTAAAGTCATGTGGTCAGTCAAGGTGACCTCTAGATCTCTTCCATGATCCATGATGGGAATTGAAATCCATTCAGAAATACTGGGGCCACTAGACACAGGCTCATGTTTAACCATCACTGCAAAGTGTGCCACAAACCACCTTAGAAGAGGGCCTGCCCCAGGGGTGGGCAGGTCTGCGGGGCCTCCTCCACACTTGGCCCCTGGGATGCCCACTCCCTCTGGACAGGTCTGGTCGGAGCTCTGCCACTGCCCAGCACGCTGGGTAATTGCAAAATCCTCCCTGGGGACATCCTGTTCCTGAATTACCTTTGGAAGGGTCTCACCAAACCTCACCACCAACTCCCCTTCGCTTCCCTCTTCATTTTCTCCTTCCTGACTCTTGACGAAACCTGTCGGAGGACAAGACGGCTGGTTTTTAGTGAACAGAACAGACTCCCAGGGCCCGGATGAAGACACTGCCTGCCCCTTCTTCCTGTGGGGCCACAGCATGGTGCAGGAGCCAGGCTTGTTTGGGATTCTGTTTTTTGCCAACTGGGGTCTAGTTATTTTTAGGAAAATCAGGTTTCCCTCTTTTTTGGCTCCTCTTTGGAACAAACCAGGCAACAGAGAAATCATCACTTGGCAGGCAGGGAGATTAGGCAACACGACAGCTCTCCCACGCCACTCAAGACAGCAGCCTTTTGAAATGCTAATTTAAGCTTCCGAATAGGCTGTTTCCATAGAAATGCATGCAAATGTCTCGATAGTTTATTGAAAACACCCACACAAAAATCCTCATCATTTTTGGAAGAGCTTTGCCCCTGCTCGTGAACTGGGACCTAAACAGCTGAACTGTGACCTGAACAGTTCGTGGACAAGGTGGGTCCAAGCCCAGGTGATTGGGAGAAGGGAGGGGCTGGGGCAGCCTGCGGTGGGAGCACAGGTCTTCTTCCTGATTTCTGGAATCTTCCATCATCCCATCACCTCCTCTTGAGTTGATTCTGCCCCCGCTACCACCACCACCACCCAGAGCATCTGGGCGAGGAGAGCTAGACACCACATGGGTCTTCTCCCACCAAACAGCTTTAGATGACATGCCGAGAAATGTCACCTAGAAAGAGTGTTTTGTGCTGACTGCTGCTGGCTGAGAGGCTGGTCATGTCCAGCTTGCTCTCGGATGCTCTGGACCCCCTGGGAAAGAGCCTGGGGTGCAGGACAGAGCACAGGACTCGGGGGAAGGGTGGGCAGCTCAGGGCCTGGCACTGGCCCCCAGGAGCTCCAGACCCTCACCCAGGACCCTCTGGTTCAGTCAGAGCCTGGCTTGGGGGGACCCTCAGGTGGGCAACACTCTGGGGGCAAGGGAAGGATCCAGCTGCCCAGTTGCCTACAAGGAGCCGAGGGGCCAGTGCAGCAGTGACGCCCTGTCCCTGGAGCAGAGGCATTTCAGATCACTGGGGGATCCCCACACGACTAGTGTTCCCTTGTACCATCCACCCGCAGCCCCACTTTTCTGATCCCCCCTGAAGTGTATCCACGAGTCCATCCCAGAGAGGAGAAACGGGGCAAAGCACCATCGACAGAGGGGAGCCCACAAGCCCTTACTCTCCAAGCAGCTCGAGTGGAACTCCAGGTAGAATTTGGTCTGGGACTTGGTCTTGAGGGTGGCGAAGCATCTGAGGAACTCAATCTGCCCTTGGCTGTCGACAGTCCCGGGGCCTGGAGCAGGTGAGAGCGGAGAGTCGGTTCCACAGTGTGCCTGGCAACGCAGCATTTCAAACCAGCCCC